GTTGTGGTTGTGGTGGTGGTTTGGTAGTGGTGTGGTGGTGGTTTGTAGTGGTGGTGGTGGTGGTGGGTTGTGGTTGTGGCGGTGGTTTGTGGAGGTGGTGCTGGTGGTGGTGGTGGTGGTGATGGTGTGGCGGTTTGTGGTGGTGGTAGTGGGTTGTGCTGCTGGTAGTGGTGCTAGTTGTGGCGGTGGTGGTGGTGTGGTAGGTTGTGGTGGTGGTGGTAGTGGTGGTGGGTTTTTGTGGTGGTGGTGGTGGTGATGGTGAGTTGTGGTGGTGGTGGTGGAGGTTGTGGTGGTGTGGTCGTGGTGTGGTGGTGGTTTGTGGTGGTGGTGGTGGGTTGTGGTGGTGGCGGTGGTTTGTGGACGTTTGCTGTGGTGGTGGTGGTGGTGTGGTGGTTTGTGGTGGTGGCGGTGGGTTGTGCTGCTGGTGGTGCTTGTGGCGGTGGTGGTAGTGGTGGTGTGGTAGATTTGTGGTGGTGGTGGTGATAGTGGTGGTGGGTTTTTGTGGTGGTGGTGGTGGTGGTGATGGTTAGTTGTGGTGGTGGTTGTGGTCGTGGTGGTGGTGACTGTGGTGGTGGTGGTGGTTGTGTGGTGCTGCTGTTGTTGTTGTTGCTGCTGCTGCTGCTGTTGCTGTTGTTGTTGTTGGTGTTGTTGTTGTTGTTGCTGTTGGTGGTGGTGGTGGTGGTGGTGGTGGTGGTGGTGGTGTTGCTGTTGTTGGTGGTGGTGGTGGTGGTGGCGGTGGTGGTGGTGGTGGGTTGACGCAGTGGTGGTGGTGGTAGTGGTGATGATGGTGGTAGTGGTGGTAATCGTCGCTGCGTCCACGCCGGCGCCGGCGCCAGCGCCGGCGCTGCTGGCCGCCGCCAGCGCCGGCGCTGGCGCGAGGGGGGGGGGCTGGGATTGAACCCCCCCCCGGCGCCAGGGGGGGTCGGGGGGGGGGGTGAACGCCCCGTCCCCCCTCCCCTGAGCTGCCTGTGGTCATCGTCGCGGCGTCCCCGCCGTGGGCGCTGCTGGCGGCCGCCAGCGCTGGCGCCGAATGGGGGGGGGGTTTGGACCCCCCCCCCTCGAAGGGGGAGGGGGGGGTCGGGAGGGGAAGGGGGTTTGGGGGGAAGGGAGCCCCCTCTGGTTTTGATCGACGGTGCCGAAGTGTTGGGGGGGGCGCCCCCCTGTTTGAAATGCGCCGCCGAATGTTCCCAAGGCAAGCGCCCGTGAAACGCGTTCTCTCCGCCGATGTTTCAAAACATGCTGATGGCCATAAATCCAGCCAGGAACCTGAAGACAGTTAAGTTGCAGACACGATTCCGCCATCGAAGTTGGAATCTGGCATATTGGAGTTTGCACGGCAATTTCTTGACGAGCATGGGGAGGCGCCGACATCGACACATTGCAAAGATTAGAAGAGAGATCGGCAGAGGATGGACACAACGTGAAATGAATGCTGTCGTGCAGCTGTTAGTGCTAAGAGGAAAGTTTGCGGCCAAGAAAGAGAATGGAGCTTGACTCGTATTCCCGCTTGCTGTAAACAGGAGGGGCGTGCAAGCTTAACATCCATAGTATGTGAAAGCTCGACGCGAATATTTCGCGCGAGCATCTTCCATCGCCATCAGAACTATTTGGGCGTAGGACGGGGGTGGGAGTTCGTTCGGTCGTCGCGTCAAGAGGCCATCTCGGGGCGAGGGGCATCGCGAGAGCTGACCTCGCCGGTGATGGTTCCCCCGTTTTTCCATATTTGGGATCAGCGATTCGCCCCTCGCTGGGGGGGCACCCTGTCTGCCTGGCCTCGATGGAAGGGGCGGAGGTGGTGGGAAGGAGGGTGGCCGAGAGCCCACAGGGTCGTCATTGGCAGGCTTCGGGGTCGCGAATTGCAGTTGATCCGAAAGTTCCTGTCCATTCGCAGGTAGGCCAGAAGAGCCCGACTGGCAGCAACCGCCGCCGGGACTCATAGCCACACGTGGTTTACCTTACCTCACCGTAATTTATTACCTTTCCTTTCCTTCCCTACCTAGGCTCTGCCTAGACGGGTTCTTACTCGGTAAGCTTAAAGGGCCGGGCAATGTGACCCGCCCCGGGCGGTTCCCCCAGTATCCGCCCCGTTGTTCCCCCAGTTACGTCCCCTTAGCTGAGCGTTGCTTATCTCATCTTAGCTTAGCTTATGTCATCTTAGCGTAGCTTAAGTTCATCTTAGCTCAGGCTTATCTTAGCTAGCTGACCTTCATCTTAGCTTCGCTGAGCTTTAGCATAGCAGAGCACAGCACAGCACAGCATAGCGTAGCGTAGCATAGCATAGCGCTGCATCGCATATCATAGCATCGGCGTAATTCCCTACCTAGGCTCTGCTTAGACGGTTAGCTTAGCTTAGCGTAGCTTAGCTTAACTTAGCATAGCGCAGCGCTGCATTAGCAGCACATACCATAGCATAGCATAGCCAAGCATAGCATAGCGCAGCATAGCATAGCATAGCATCGCATAGCATAGCATAGTATAGCATCGCATAGCGCAGCTTAGCATATCATAGCTAAGCTTAAAGGGCTGGGCAGTGGGGCTCGCCCCGGGCGGTTCCCCCGGCATCCGCCCCGCGGTTCCCCCAGTGACGTTCCCTTAGCTTCGCGTTGCTTAATATATCTTAGCTTAGCTTATTTCATCTTACCTTAGCTTAGCTTCATCTTACCTCAGTTTTTCCCTACCTAGGCTCTGCCTAGAAGGGTTCTTACTCGGTATGCTTAAAGGGCCGGGCAGTGGAACCCGCCCCGGGCGGTTCCCCCGGCATCCGCCCCGCGGTTCCCCCAGCGACGTTCCTTTATCTTAGCGTTGCTTATCTCATCTTAGCTTAGCGTATTTCATCTTAGCTTAGTTTAGTTTCATGCTGGTTTCCTAGGGGCTCCAATTCCTAGGTAGGGTCGCACTGGGATAATTTCCTTGCCTGTCCTTTCCTTTCCTTTCGTTTCCTTTCCTTTCCTCCTCCTCTTCCCCATCCTCCTCCCGCCCTCCTCTCCGTCCCCGTCCTCCTTCCTCCCTCCTCCCCCGCCTCCTTTTCCACTCCGTTCAAGCGCCCCTTGCGGTCTCCCCATGGGGTGCTGAGACCAGGGCTGCGCCAGATACATCCTACAATCTGCTTTGCAAGGCGCCGAACAAGCAACCCATCGGAGACATCTCCACAATCTGGGAGCGAATGGGGGAGTGAGATAATTACCCCCTAGCGGCCCCCCTCTTGGATTGCTGCAGCCATCGCCTCACTTGAGACATCCTGGCAATCTTGTCAACCAGGACATTTTGACACCGTACATCCTGGTTCCTGAAGGCAAAGGGAGTGTGGGCAACCAAACAAGCAACCGCATGGTGCATCGAGCTCCGTGGGTTTCCATGGAGCTCCTGGGCGCTCCTTGGCGCTTCCCATCAGCGTCTGAGGGTTCCCTGGAGATTCGTGGAGCGTCCTGGAGTTTCCTCGGAACTCTAGGAAATTTGCTGGGACTTCCTGGGGCTCCCTGGGGCTTCCTGACAGATCCCATGGCTGCGGGAGATCGCTGCGGATCCCTGGAGCTTCCTTGGGGTTCCCTGAAGCTTTCTGGGGCGTCCTGGAGCTTCCTGAGAACTCCATGGAGCTTCCTGGCGCTGCCTGGGGGTCCCGGGAGCCTCCTGGGGCGTCTTGGAGCTTCTTAGGAGCTCCTGAGGGGCCCCTGGAGCTTTCGGGGGCGTCCTGGAGTTTCCTAGGAGCTCGTGGTGACTCGCTGGGTCCCCTCCCGTAGGGTGTTGAAGCCAACGCCTTGCCTGAGACATCCTGCAATCTGTGTTGAAAGTGCCGCAGTCCAAGCAACCAAACAGTCAGACCACCTGAGACACCCCCCAGTATGGGCGCGAACAGGGGAGTGAGATACCCCCTGGTGGTTCCCCTTTGGGGTGCTGAGACCAGCGCCTCACCTCGCCTGAGACATCCTCGCAATTTGCTTTGAAAGCACCGAAGGTCAAGCACCCAAACAAGCAAACCGCCTGAGGTACCCCCTGGCGGCTCCCCCTTGGGCTACTGAGACCATCACCTTGGCTGAAACATCCTCGCACTCTGCGAGTCTGAGTGCGAGTGCGTCGCAGATTCGACTGAGTCTGAGAATGACTGAGTCTGAGTGTGAGTGACCTCGAGTACATATGAGTGAGTATGAGGGTGAGTGGGTCTGAGTGTGAGTTATTTTTAGTGTCAGTGAGTCGGGCGAAGTGAGTCTGAATTAAGAGGAAGCGGAGCCAGCGGCGAGTCTGGGCGTCTAAGTATTGACAAGAGCCCCATCTTAGGAGTGGGTGCACTTGGCCATGCTCTCAACCCTGCTCTCACCCGTGTCCGGCCTCTTCACCGTTGTTGTTATTAGGGTGCGTTGTTGGAGTAATGGTTGTTGTCCTCGGATCTTCCCGCGAGCCCCGCCTCAGGGGAGGTGTGTTTTTTTTAAACGCAGATGGGTGTCAGAGGGGGGAGGGGGGGTTCTCCCTGGACCCCTCCCTGATACCCTTCAAAGTTGGTCTCATCCGTGTAGCTGGTGAAGATTCCAAGCTTCACTGTCATACGAGATGAAGTGTCAGGCGAAAAGCCAAGCCCGCCCTAGCAACATACCAGGTGATGTGACGACGAGGTCGTCTTTGAGGAAGAGGAATAGAAGACAAGGACAAGCAGGAGGAGGAGGAGAGGAGGAGGAAGGAAACAAGAGGGAGGAGGAGGAGGAGGAGAAGGAGGAGGAGGAGGAGGAGGAGGGAAGATAGAGCGTGCACGGAGAGGGGACACCCTCAAAAGTGTCCGACAGGTCTCGGACGACCCATGCCAGATCGAGCGTGGCGTCAGGGGCGGATTGCCTGTCATGCTCCGCATTGGAATGATCACTGGTCCATCCCATCCTTCTCCCTTCACGGGCGACGGAATCTATACGTACACCGCCCCTGGCGGGGCCCATCCTGGGCCCAAGACCAGTGCAGACGTCCCCTTGGCTAAGCCAGGAGACAGGAGGAAGACCGATGCGGGCCCCGCCCCGAAGGCTGCTGGGGCCACGGCGCGGAGTCCTGGGGCTGGGCGGCGGACGCCTGCCACCGCGCGCCACAGAACCAGCAGCCCTGGGGCGCGCAGTGGGAGGCCCACCTCCCCTCCGTCCCTCCCCCACCTCCCCTCCGTCCCTCCGTCCCCCTCGCCACTCCACTCCGTCCCCTCATCCCTCCCTCTTTCCCCCCGCCCGCTCTCCGTTCCTCCTCCGTCCCTTTCTCCTTCCTCCTCTCCGTTCCTCGTCCTCCCTTTCGTCGCAGGAGAGCACGATGCGTAAACATGAACTTTCGGAGATCCGCGCGGATTCCTCGGTTTGGCGCTGGGCCCCTCTAGCAGTGCGTCCAGCGCCGCCCCTGGCGCGCGGAATGTGACACAGGAGCGGGGTTTTGCAGCGCCGATCCAAGAGTCCACGCGGACCCCATTCATGACCGACAACGGCAAGGGTGGTAAGAAAATCTACATCGATTCGGCTAAATGCGAACACGTAGGAAATGAAATTCAGTATCGGGGCCGGTGGGTGCGCTGATGGTGCCCCTTCAAAAAGTAGGCTGGGTACCAAGGCGCCCCAGCAAATGGGAATACCCACGAGGCAGTATCTGGCAGGTTTTGGGTAACGGAGCCTTCGACTTCAAGGACATCATGAAGACCATTGCAGTGGACATGGAAGTCCAGCTCTGGAAGCAAGCGAGCGACCCCCTACTACGCAATGGCATGCAACACGGCATGGACCCCACCATGCTAAATAAGATCCTGCAGAAGCTACGACAGGCCGACCGGGCACAATCAATTTGAGTTTTAGGGGCACTTGCGTGTGGTACCATCTGGACGGGACAAGCGCTGCAGAAAGGTTGGATACCAGACGGATGGGATCTGCCCAAGGTGTTCAAAGTCGCCCGACACGCCCAAGCACAGGATCTACGAATGCGCGGTGAACGACAACCTCTCCATCGAAACTGTTGTCAAGTCTGAACCGATATGTAGAAAAACGTTTGAGGAAATGCACGAGGTCCCTGACACTGAGGCCTTCTGGTTACGCGGGCTGCTACCACGACGTCGTAATTCTGTGACAGGTCCACCATTTCGGGGAGATTGGGATGGGAGCTATTGGGCTACTGCAGCGGAAGGCAGAACTGGTCACCACCGACCCCATCAATTGCAGCGCGGCTTTCGTGGACGGTTCTGGAACCAGGAGCGACGTTCGCATCGACGGGGCCGGACGGGGCCTCGCACTGCAGCAGCGACGCGAAGGACTCGCACACCAACCAGGACTTGAAAGGCCGCGGTGCCATGATGCTCTCTTGGGAAAAGGAGATGCCCCAAAGGAAGGATCTGGATCCTCGCCCGCGGAGGGGGGGGGCACCGCGCGCGGGACACCGCGCGCCAGGGCGGGCGTTCGAGAGGACCCCCCAGACCCAGGAGAGCGAGGCAAAACGAACGGCTGCGACAATGCCGACTGATGATGCGACCGAGCAAATCCGCAAAGCTATCATGCGCGACATGAGTGCGCGGGCAGCAGCCTGGACAGGGGCCGCGGGCATGGGCGATGCCGATCACTCCCTCAATTGGAGGATGCGACGCGAACCGTACCTGGAGCAGTACTCGCCCCAGCCAGAGCAGGCGGCCCTCCTCCGTCAACTGCAAGGCCGCCACCGCTCCATGAACGCCGGCAAGACAGCGAGGGATACATACGATACGCAGTGGAGGGACTTGAAGAAGCACGAGCGGGAGTCGACGATTACTGCGTTGCGCTCGCAGGCTGGGAGAAAGAAGCGCGTCTATCACATCGGATGGAAAGTGCCGCGGAGATACAGGCGCTATTTCGTCGACTACCCCAAGACCGAGCACCCACCTTTGAGGATTAACACCCAGATTACTATGACGACCGCGACGCTGGGACTCCTACCGTTGGGCAGAGTACACCTGGAGCTACACGTCGCAGCCAACGTCGACCTGATGTCGCCACGGGCGCCGCCCCCGAGACGGACCGCGTCGGTTCTTCGGCGTCGTGGGCGGCGAGCAGGGCGCACCTGCAGCAGAGAGAGAGAGAGAGAGAGAGAGAGAGAGAGAGAGAGAGAGAGAGAGAGAGAGAGAGAGAGAGCGAGATTCTTCTGGGCGCCAGCCCTCACCAGAGGCCCGATCACGACCTACGCGGACTGCCAGCAGGCCATGGAAGGTTGTGTCCAGCACCATTATCCACGGCCCCAAGGTGCTATGCGAGGATGGTGGCAGCGAGCTGGGCAGATGCTCAGCCACCTGGCGGAACCCATATTGCATTGTACACGCGGCCAGGTTCTTGTCGCACTTTGACCAGGAGCCCATCAAGCAGTCGGGCCACCCCTTCGAACCATCTTGGGCAAAGAGTTGGCAGGCGCACTGGCGCAGCGCGGAGAGGAGTTGGCCATGGCATACATGCGCGATGAGACCACGCAGCCAATGGAGACCGAGACTTTGTTCACGCGTGCCCAGAGCAGAGCAGCTGCCATCATGCATGACACTTGCAGCGGCGCCGACCCCGCCAACCATGAAAGACCGAGGCAGGCGCCCAGCAATATTGCCCGCGAAAGGCGTTGCCAAATCGAACGAGAGAGAAAGAAAGGCTGGTGGGATTGCCAGGAACGTTGGGCCCCGCCTGGTAAGTGCAGCGTCGTCGATTGGATGTGTGCGGATGCGCGCGCTGGGCGGCCGTGCGAAACCCAACGAGCTGACCGCGGACATGCGGCGCCTGTCCCAAAACATAAAATGTTTGATCGCGAATGGAAGGTCATCCAGATGAACCACAAGATAGCGGGTGCTCATGGTCAGCTCTGGCGTTGGAATTGTGCGATGGCGGTTTCTCGCAATGACGATAGACATGGCAGGCTGAATCTACTGGCGAGGGAGCGCAGGGACAAGATCACCCCGCGACCAGATCACCCCAAGTGGCGAGACGACAACTACGCCAAGGACTACCACCCAAGGCGGGCTAGAACTGGCCAGATGGGACAGCGCCGCCGAATGGCGGCAATATGCTACGCGTTGCCAGCTGGGCGGCGACGTTGCGGTTAACTACGCAGCTCGGGGCTGTGGCCCCGCTGATCTACTCCGCCCTGGAGGGGCAGTGAGGTGAAGGCCCGCCCTGTCTCCTGGGGTAGGTTCTCGACCTCTGGCCCGCGCAGCACGCGCGGCCTGGCACGGGGGTGCGGCCCCGCAGAACGTACTCTGCCCTGGAGGTGGCAGCGAGGCGGAGACCTGCCCAGTCCCCGGGGTGGGCTCGCGACCTCACGCGGCCTGCGCGGTCGGCGCGGGCGGGGGGCGCCGCGTCGGAGTCGACCGCGCTGCCTTCCATCTCGAGTCTTCGAGTCCTCCCTCCTCCTCTGTCTTCCTCTGTTTTCCTCCTCATCATCCTCCGACTCCTCCTCGCACCGGCACGCTTTGGCGTGTCGGTTTTCTAATTTGTTTGAATGGTCTGTGTTGCTTGTGCGCCCTGTGGGCACCTGGCTACCTGCGTGCGTGCGTTCCCCCTCCCATTCCTGAATGCTCCGCTGCGCTTGAGCCTATCCTGGGTGACGGAGCCGTTCGGGTGGCGCGCGGAGCGCCGCGCGGCCTGGGGTGATTCTGCTGCGGAGGCAACCGTTCGCTCGCTTGCGTGATGCGCGCATCCTGGTTGCTGCGCTTCCGATTAGGGTAGGTTCGTGTCGTGCCGACAGGCGGCGACCCCGCCGCTGGCGTTCAACCTTGAACGCCGCCAGCGACCCAGAATCGGTCGATGTTGAAGAATCGGACGTTGCGGAAATTGCCGATCGTTCAAGATTGAACGATCCCCGCGGTGTCAGGAGCCAACGCTCAGGTCGACTCGACACGAACCTGCCGTAGTCGCTCTCTCGAATTCGCCCATCATATTGACAGGGGCAAACATAATTTTGGGGGTTCCCAACAGTGTGATGACCACACCGTGCGGTTAGTCAGTGGGGATTCGGGGTCACCGCGCGGTTTTGGGATTCGGGTCGTTCTCCGAGGAGGTTTCAGGCGACCACGGCATCAAGGGTCCCTTGGCCGTGCGGTGAGGAATCGTGCGGCGGTGAGGTTTATCGGGAGTCCGAGGCCAACGCGCGGTCTGTGGCCACACGGTCTTGGAACCCCAAGCAACTCAGCACCTATACTCCGACTGCCGGCGTTGCGCAGCTGCTTCGCGCGTCGGTGCCCGGGATGTGGAGCGGCCGTTTTCCAGGCCGGCGTCGCGAGGGCAGCAAGATAATCGTCGTGGGCGCGACGCGCGAAGATAGGTGGCATGGGTCATCAAGAGCAGCAGCCAGCAGCATCTTTGTCGCATTCACCCCTCATCCACATAGCAACCCATCATATTCGTTCATACTTCCTGTCTTCATTCCCCAACACCACGCGAGTCATCGCAATTTGCAGACGTTCCTCGACATTCACATCATTTTCCTGCCCAGTTTGCGTCCGTTTCCTCTTCTTTTTCGCTTCGGGACACCCTAACATGCGCCGGTCTCCGCCTACAGCCTACAGTTTTAGTTGCCTCCTCGCCTTCGCCAATACCAGCATCATCAGTAATCAGATTCAGTATGATCGCTCTTATCTGTGTGCGTCTCATTGCTCATGTAAGCTGTGACCCAAAGCCCGCGAACCCCGCCATTTCAATTCATGACCATGCCCCTATTGTGGGCTCATTTGGTTTACTCCAGCTCCCGGGTAAACCCCGACAGGGTACGACAAGCGGGCTTGGCGGGCAGACCCTCACAGACAGGTCAGGCGGGCGGACCCTAACGGGCGGTCGGGCGAGCGGGATATTCAAACGGGCGGGCAGACCTTGATAGTCGTGTCGGGCGTGTTGGACATTAAAGCGAGCCCATTGTGAGGTTTGTTGATGGTCGCTCCCCACGTCCCCGTCAGAAGGGGAACCATCATCTGAGCAGACTCGGGCGCGGGCTCCCTCTGAAGATATGGAGTGACACCCCAGGAGCCTGATGATGCTGCCAGGGTCTGAGCTCACACTCGGGAGCGCCAGGATTATGGAAATGCCTCCCTCTTCTTCTCATCTCCCTTCCTTTCATCCACCATCCCTCTTCCTTTCCCCCCCGTCTTTCTCCCTCCCCACCGCGTCGACGGTGTCGACAGCGGCGGTGGTCGACAAGGCGGTCGACTTCCAGTATGGGCACCACCATGTGCAGCCCGTCATGGTGTTCGGTATGCCATGTGAGTTCGCCGCGTCCCACTGCTGGACGCCGGTGGAGCAGGCGCGAAAGACGCCAAGCAAAGGAGGAGGAGGAGGAGGAGGAGAAGGACAAGGAGAAACATGATTACTTTTTCCCACCCTTGGTGGGCCTACCACGAGGCTGAACCTTTCTGGAACGGCAGCATCTGCTTCGATATCCCTGTCGACACATTATGGGCGGACTTTCTGGTCGATTCTCAGGAGGCGGCCGAGGAGTGAAGGCGGAGGAGGAGGAGGAGGAGGAGGAAGATAAGGAGGAGGAAGAGGAGGATTCTGAAAGGTGGGAGACTGGAGGGGAAAGGGAATGGTAGAGGAGGAGGAGGAAAAGGAAGGATAACGTGGAGGGAGGAGGACGAGGAGGAGGGACAGGGGGAGGAGGAACAGGGGGAGGAGGAGGAGGAGGAGGAGGAGGAGGAGGAGGAGGAGGAGGAAGAGGGGGAGGAGGAAGAGGGGGAGGAGGAGGCAAGGCAAGGCAACTCTGGGGTGCTATCACATGTGCCTACACACATAACATTGGAGGAACAACTAGCACCTGAGTGGCATCAATGATGCAGTTTCCCACAGCGGTTGGCGCTGCAGGCGGAACACACTTGGGCCTCGACCCGCACTGAAATTGGGAAATGCCAGTGAGGGGTGATGGCACCGCCATTCTCTCGCAGTTAAGCTCCGCGGGCATTCGACCTAGGACGTCTTTTGATATGCTGCTTTCGGACCTTGGGCACAAAAAGAGTTCTCTCGGCTCCTGAGACACCTTTTTTAGAACAAAAAAATCGGAGAGCGAGACGTCTTGAGGAGCGGGACCAGAGGGAGGGCAGGCATCAGCAGCCGCAGGGCTCGAGGACGAAGAAGGAAGGGGGAAGAGCTCTCCGCGCTCGACTAGGGCCCTGAAGCGGGCCGAAGTCTTGAAAACGGCAGGCACAACTATGCACCTTTCCCTGGGCGCAGTGGCCCCCGCAGGGGCAAGAGGAACACGGTGGCCTTCGCCTCCCGTCAGCCTAGCACTCACTGGCGTTGGAGCAGCAACTCTCATTCCAGTCCCCACTCGGCTGGCGGTCGCCTCTGTGCTCGGGCTGCTCAGACCAGTCCCCACTCGACTGGCGTCAGAGCTCAAAACAGCACTCACGCCATGAGCGGCTCCAGCATCTTCGACGCGTCCCTTTCCAGGGTTCCACGGGGCGCGGGCCCGTGCTTCCTCTGGCCTACGTTGCTGAAGTACGCTATCAGCGCCGACTCCAGCTCGCCGTAGCGGTGGTCCACTCCGAAGGTCAGGCGTAGCTTCTCTCCTTTCGCCTCCTGCTTGCGTGTCGTGCGTATTCGACCTTGTCGAACTTGCTCGACCAGCTCGATTACCTGCACCTTCAGCACCACCTCGCCCCAGTACTTCCCCATGGTTTGCGTCGCGCCGATGTCCGCCTGCGGGTCCATGCCCACGGCCTTGATGGTGGCCGCCCAGACGTGAACAGACGGCGGCCCCAACATCCCCGTCTCGGTGTCCGCCTCCTTCCTCTTCTGGATCTCCTGGTGGTAGAGCACCCCCGCCTTCTTCGCCGCCGCCACCGCGACCTGCTCGACCGCGACTAGGAAGGTGAGGCACACCACTCCACATACGTCTCGAAGTTCTGCCGCATTGGACAGACTCAACTTTGCGAGCGCGATGACGAGGTTCTTTATCACATCGAAACCCGTTGACTTTGCCTGCTCGGCCAGCTTTCGCTTCTTGTCCCCCTAACCGCCGCCCACGGCCGCTGAAGCGTTGATCGCCCAGTCTGGGGAGGCATCCATCGCCGTGCCCAGGTCTAGACCGAATCACTCTGAGAGGTCCAGGGAGATGCACGCGCAGATGCAGCTGCAGTTGAGCAGAATGGCCGCCGGCGAAGTCACATTGAGGACAGTCAAGCAGGGCAGGAGGCACAACAGAGCAAATATGACGAACAGCAGGAACCTCGCATAAGCCTCTCGCGGGCGAAAGCTCAGGATGTCGCTGACACGTCACACGGCTCGAGAATGCAGTGCGACGCCAGCGATACTCGTTGGCAATTGAGAGAACATGCCCCAATCCACGATGCCCATATCGAGCGATGATACGCGCGTGAACTACCCGCTTATCTGGAAGGAACGCCCCACAGACAGTCCCGTCGGCCTCAGAGAAGCAGCATCGACACACACACACACACACCGCCCCGAGCAAAGACACGGGGAGGGCCATGAGCGGCAGCAGGAGCATCCCATTCAGGGGGGGGGGACTCGTTCCAACAGGAATTGACTCCGTAACTGTCGCACATCGATCTTCAAGAAATCCTCGGTTATCTCTGGATCAGATAGGAGGAGCCGGCATTGGCCCCCAATCGAAGCCAGAAGCGCAGCCCCCTCATCTATCACCGACATCGGCTCGAAACCCTCCCAAGCACGTTCGGCCCAGGGGGTCGCTCGCACATCGAGTCTACCCGAGGGGGAAAAGGTGGGGGCAAAGAGGAGGCATCCAAAGGGAGCCGCAAGCACTTGTCTGTGGGACTCGGGGCGCCTCAGGAGCTCTCGATGGCACCGAGCGCGACGAATCCGAGCCTCGAGCTTGATCGGCACGATGCGCCAGTACTTTAATACTGCTGCATTGCTAAGGGAGACAGGGCGGGATGATTCAGAAAAGAGAGAAAAGTTTTGCCCCTAATCGCTGTTCGGGCACATTGTGCCACTGCGGCAGTAAGTATCGCACGCTCGGATGGCGAAGGCGAAAAAAACTTCGAGCCCAGACAGGGCCGTGTTATATATATATATGTATATATATATATATATATATATATTCCGCTGCGAAGCATGCACTTGCTCACGCGATAGGGCACGCCAGATAGAGACCAGAAACTATCTAGAGAGTGCCATCCTGCGCGCGTAGTCCCCACTCGCGCTCGGCATTCGGAACTGAATCGGATCGGATTCGAATTAAGGCGAGCCCCAAGACTGACCACGATCTGGCGCGCCTTTCCTGGCACCGCAACATCTCCAGTGCGGGGCGCTTCAAGAGCCCGCCCCGCGCCTCGGCCGAAGAACTTACAAGGGTGTCCTGCTTATCCAGGTTGCGCCGATACCCGCGCCGTTCTAGTTCGCAATCTAGACCGGCTTTGGACCGAACGCTGAGTTCGACCAGATTCTCTAGCGGATAAAAACGTCATCCTACGAGCTTCTCTGTTAAGTCATCAGCACGCTTGGCGACTGACAGACCCTGCCACTCCTGCGACAAAGGGCATCGCGCACGCTGGAAATCACGCTGGCGATCCCATCGGGTCTGCCTGCGCTGCCAGGCCTCGACCGCGGGGGAGAAACAGCGAACAAAAGACCGAACGGCAAAGGAGTCGCCCATCAGGCCGCAACAGCTGGGGCGCAGAGCGACTTCCCGATCCCACCCCCAGCGCCACACACGCAAGCCTGCGCCTCTTATTTTGAGAAGGGCATCTTGCATTCCGCGCCGCGCACTCGACCCAAAAGCAGCGGCCAAGTCGCGGCAGTTGGTCGAATGCTGTCTCCCAGCATTCTGGCACGTGAACCCACTGATGCCCTGGACTAGACCTTCTCCTTCGCGGCGCCCGCGCGCCTCGAAGCCGCGGCCCTGGTCGCTCACCGCCCCCCCCCCCCCCCGCCCCGCTGAGCCGTCGCCCCGCCCAGAGACGCCTCTACTCGGGCGGCGCATCAACCGCCGCAGCTCGAGTGGCACAGCCCACTCAGGAACAGCTCGTCGCCCACTCGCCTTCCTGAGTCCTTTGCGAAAGAAGGAATCGCCAATTGCCGCGGCGATCCTACGAGCAGAATCCAGCGTCGGCAGCGGCGGTCGGAAAGAGAGGCGCTCGCTACGCCATGCCCCCCAGCCATCAACCTCGGCGGCAGCCACGCCGCCCTCGGGGCCTGTCCTCGCGAGATGCACAATCAGCTGCTCGGCAGACTCTACGACCCCGCGCACAGAAAGATAGCCCCGCTTCTTGGGTCCGACGCGCGAGCCCGCCGCCCTTCTGAAAAGACGAGACGATTCGGCGACTCGCCCCCTGGCGCCACAGCTCGCGCGCCTCGTCAACAAGTGCAGCGCGTCGGCGCCGGCCCTCTGCAGCAAGGTAGGCTCGATTCGCCTCGGTGGCCTCCTCGAGTGCCTCCGCCGCCTCTGCCTCGCGCTCCGCCGTCGGGACTTCGGCCAAACGCGGGCGCGGACCCCGGCGAAGCGCAAGCAGCCGAAGTCGTTCATCTGCAGTCTTCCTCCGCAGCAGCTCGGCAACGCGCCCTTCATCAGCGCGAAGACGCCCCCCCGCCTCCTTCGCGAAGTCAGATCAACCGAGACCACCGCGGAGGCATCCCACGAGCCTGTCGGCGCCCCAGCGCGCCCGCTGCTCGCGGGCGGCGGGGGGGCATGCAGGCTCCAGTACGTGCGGAAACACAGCGTGGACAAGCAGATAATCTCGACTGGCCTTCGCGCGAATGAGTTGGAGCTTCCGACTGACCCGCTGCCGAAGAGGCCCAGCGGTCCGCACGGCCCGAACATGCGCCCCAGGCAGAGCAATCATGTCGACGCAGCTGCTCGCGCCCAGGTGGCCAAAATACGCTCGAGCAAAGCCAACATGCAGATTCGCGATCTGCGCGCTATGCGCGCCCAGCAGCTCGGCGAAGAGCGGCCCCGCAAGGTGGCCTCGCCTGGCCGAGGACTCGGGAACAACATCACGGCCGTCAAACGTCCATCGGCCCCCGACGCACTCCACGCCGACGCCGTCGCCGAGGCCGGTGCAAACAATAGGGGTGCTCCGCTGCGGCACCTTCGCCAGCTGCTCGGCCAACCACGCCGTGAGTAGCCTCGCGGCGCACTCGTAGCTGCCCCGCGCCTCCGATGTCCGTGGCCGCGGTGGAAAGTAGCACGCGATGTCAGACAGGCCGAGGATGCCCGATCGCGCGCGGCAGCGGAGGCCACGCCCTTGGAGCGGAGCGGGGGCGGCCTCGCACCGCATGACATGCTCAGGCCGAACACGTCGGCCCCGCAACACAGCACATCCGCGC